GAAGATTCTGACGATTCCAACGCGCCTCCGGCTACCTCTATCCGCCTCGTCCATTCCATATAGACCCAGTCACATCATGGAGAACACGTTTGGGAATCATACACCACCCGAACGCGGAGTCGAGTCTTACTACTAGCCCATCCAACCCATTACAAATGAAAATCTGTGCATCTCGTGCAACACTCTGCCACTGAGTTAAGCGGGCGATTGTACTCGTTCTACGAGTGCAGGGCATGATGTGAGTGCAAGAACGAACAAAATCGGAGCAGAAATGAGCGAGATACGATGCAAACAGTATTTCCGCTCATGTGTGATGGCGGTTACTTCCGAAACAGGATTTTATGGTTTGGCTGAGTGAAGGTGCCGTTTGAGAATGAAGTGCACCAAAGGACTCGAGGATATACTTAAAGGTTGAGTTTGATCGATCTATCGGTGGATTGATGCCTCCTCCCTCCCTCACAACGTTTAGTAACCTCTCACTGGACGGCGGCCAAGACAAGTAGTAATCCGAGTAATAGATAACGAAATTGGTCGCAATCAACACTGGGTATGGAATCAACAGGCTCCTAGGTTACTGGAGACCCGAACCAATACAAAAACATGCGTCTTCCCTGAGGCTTCAACATCTCACCTTCAATCTGACCTCAGTCTTCCAAACTGGACATATCCGTCAAATTCCCGTCCGGTAACTTCAAGGCGAGTCTTATTCCAGCCGGCGCCGGCCAATTATTCCAATGAAGTCGAATCCATAGGTCTGGGTCAATTCAGGCAGTTTTTAAACAAGTTCTGAGGCAACAGGCCAGGAGACTCGGATGAACCAATGCGATCTAGGTCCGGCTCCAAAAATGGTCAACGGTCGCCACAGCACATGACCTGAAATTTCAACCTTACATCTAGAAATTAGTAGTGGAATCTGGAGTGCTTCGCTTCTTACTGGTGAAAAGCATGGGCAGCAGAGTGCAGAGTGCAGGTGCAACACGGATACTCGCGTCTCTCTGGCTCTGTTTTTACCATCAACATGTCCTCGCCTCTTCGGAAGGACTCGTGGCGGCTATTTGCATTGGCTGGGTGCAACTCAAACTTCAGTGAGGAGGTCTCAAAAAGCCATTTGGCGGACAAGGACTGTAGATTTGGGGCCTAAAAAAGCCACTTTTCCGGACATTCCCTGGCAGGAGTTTCCCGGGGCCTCTCGGAAGACCATGGTTGAATTTCGGAAAGGAGAGGTATGTGAATTTTACCTTATGCATCATCAGACAGGTCCCGCTCTATGAGTCTTTGCTCAGCGAACGCCTCCTGGTTGGGAATCATGCGAGAATTGATAAAGTGAGGCAAAAATGAGCAATGTTTTACGCGCTTGGTGAACTCGTCCCCGAGAAGTATCAAGTAGCTGTGAATGGTTGTCAGATTTCACTTTGAACAGAGAGATTGATACTAGCCAACGATACCTTGATCGCCATCCTCCGTCGCGTCCATGGGCGGCTCCTCGGCCTCTCGCAGCAAACTCGCTGGACGCGTCGGGGCTTGACCAATTTCTTTTTTCTCGGTGAAAGAAAAACACTAACCCGGGTAGTGAGCCTCGGCGAACTCTTGGTCATCGGAGGTCGGGACGACGATCGACGGCTCCTCATCATCCGACATTGAAATGAGGTCCCGCACCAAAGCTATGTAAGGATGGCACGATGAAAACTTTCGACGCAAAAGAAGAAAAAAATACTGACCATGGTGAAGCTGATAGGCCAGTTCCTCATCGTCCGAGGTGGGAACCACCTCCTCTTGGCTCGTGGACGCGGGCTTGAGAACAGAAAGTCAGGAAGAAAACGGGGCAAGGCATCGGGCTCACTTTGAACGGAACGATGGGTAGGGCGTCGAACGCCGCATCGAACATTGCCGAGTCGGTGTCGTCGCCATCCTCCGGTCCGGTAAAGCGCCCCGACTTGGCTTGCGGAGGCTGAATAGTCCAAGTTTGAGGAAGAGAACAGGTAATGAGAGAGACCTCTGACCGGTTCACGCGTGGACACGGCGCTCTGCTGGAGAATAATGCATGGTAAGATTACCACTTGCACAACCGTGAATAATGTCTGACCGTGCGCTTGAAGGACATGACGAGGGAAAAGAGAGTCAGTCGGCGCGTCACAAAATCGCTCGGACACGGAATCCAGTCCGATACCTTTGGCCGGCCGACCGCACAAATTCGAGGGAGTGAACCGGCGCGTCACAGAAGACGAATTCCAGTCCGATGTCTCTTTGGCCGGCCGACCGTTCAGTTTCATGGGATCGGCCCCATTTCTGTGTCATGGCAGGTAATTCTTCGGCCGGCCCACCGACCATGATCGAGCAACCCCACAGAAATTGGCCCATATTCCTTCGCGCGAACCAAGATCCCCACTGCATCTGGCGCGAACCCTTCCTGGAAGAGGTATACGAGTGACATCCGCCCGACAGCTTCGTAAAACGTCGGGATACCGGCACGAGGAACGTTCACGAGAACCAAAAGGACAACGCAGCGATGAATATGGGCGCGGAAAAAAAAAGGATTGTAGTATGCCATCATCCCCGGGACTTTCTTGCAGTGGAACGGCCTATCAGGTTCAAAGTCCCGTTCCAGATGACGATGATCGATCGACGGGATCGTCGACCGGGTGCGACGCCGACCATGGTAGCCATGCAGTTGATGAAGGGGCCCGAGGTTGGAAGTTGAGAAGAGTGATCGTGTTTGGCACCACTCTTGGAACCAAAGCCGTTGACCCGAGCATTTGATGTCGTCACGGTGATCCAGCGGCGTACTTACTAGTCTGTCCGTTGGCGCGTCGTGCATTTCTCGTAGCCCTATTCACTCTGGAAAAAGGCTTATTTTGGGCCTCCTGAATACTTATCTGGAACTAAAAGTTCCAGGCGCGCGCCTGATACCTTTAGTTTCAGGCCCGGCCCACCTTCAAACGCACTGTAAGACCATAATCCTTCCGGCGCTACGTCGATACCTGTCCGCAGCCGCTCCCGACAGTGACGAACGCATCCCGAGGCGTCTCACAATCCCTCGGCTACAGGTCTTGTCCCTTTCGATGTTCGATATCTCTGTGGACGACCTTTCGTCCTTTTTGAAGCGTTCCTCGCCGCCACTCCGAGAACTCGTCCTGGGTTGTGGATATCAGTACGAGGACCCTCACAGACCGGACGAATTCCTTTCGCTTGTGCCCGTGCTTACACATCTCGAAGTGCGGTGGCCAGCGACCCGTGATCCAGAAGAATTGCTCGCTGCGCTGGCGCAGTCCAGTATCTTGCCAAAGCTCCAGAGTTTGACCGTTAAGCTTTATTCGTGCGCCATCATTCGAAATTCTTATTGGGAAACCCTGTTTCGCGTACTTACAGCCCGTCGTCCAACAATGCAAGTCACTGACATCAAGGTCAGACACACATCCATGAAGCCCGCCGCAAACGCCCTTGTTGCATTCAGAGCACTCGTAGCTGGGGGGATGGCATTACATATTGGTACCCATGATGAGAATGTCGTCCCCGACCTTTAGTTTAACCCCTCCTGTCATTCTCGCACATTTAACTGGTACTCCCGCTTTGGTCAATGCAAGAGTTTAGCGCCCCCGAAAGAACCAAATTCGGAGCGAGCTTACGCACTTGAGATGACCTGACTTCGTAGGCGTTCTGTCGGGTACGCGCACAGATTTATGCAGATGTGAGTTGATCGGGACACGAGTAGTCGTCTACCTCCCTCACCTTCAGGTAAATCATCAGTTCGTTTATGTTTTCATGACCATCTTATCCCTCGGTAGGAAGGTAGAAATAGTGATCCATCAGTCGAGCATGTACGTTGGTGCCTTTTTTGCCGCCGGCCGATGCGTTCAGTTTCGTAGGATTGGCCCCAGGATACCCATTTCTCTGTCAGGCAAGTAATTCTTCATTGTTCGGCCAGCTCCTCGCTATTAGATATCCAATGGCCGAGAACCCAGCACTCCATAGAAAATGGCGCCAATTCCTTCGCGCGAGTTGTGATCCTTATTGCATTGGGCGCGACGACTGTCCAGAAGTTTACTTGCGCCTGACGGCTTAAATTATTCACCAGAACCAGAGACACAAACAGGGTGATCGAGGATGCGAAAAACCTCGAAGATACAAAAAGAAAATGGCGCTCAGTGTGTTCCTCTCAGGGTTTGGAACCGTCACTGGGGTTTTTGAACGGCCCAAGAATTGCGGTTTACAATTTCACCGGATAGTTTCTTGAGGCTATAAAATCGACGAGGCCTCTCCGCCGAGTGGCTGTCTGAACCACCATTACGCCATGGCATGCTGATGTCGTCCTAGCTGTTCTCGCAATTTAGCGGCGTCGGGAGTTGGGCTACGAGTGTCAGAATGCAAGGACTTGAGGCTGCAGGTGGGTGATGATGAGCAGCTCGGCGACACCAGTATCTGATCTTCTGATTCAGGAGATCTCTGAAAAGCAACTTTTTCTGGCGAATTGACCCAGACCTGTGGATTCGACTTCATTGGAATAACTGAGCGGCGCCGGTTGGAATGAGAGCCTTGAAGTTAATACTTGACGGGAATGTCCAGTTTGGAAGACTGAGGTTAAATTGAAGGTGAGAAGAATACTAATGTTGAAGCCTCAGGGAAGGCGGATGTTTTTGTATTGGTTCGGGTCTCCTAGGAGCCTCTTAATTCCATATCCAGCGTCGATTGCGACCAATTTCGTTATTTCTTCGACTCGGACTACTGCCGTCCAGTGAACGTTGTGACTCTGAGCGAGGGGAGGAGGCATCAAATCATCGATCAATCGATCATACTCAACCTTTAAGTATATCCTCGAGTCCTTTGATGCACTTCATTCTGAAACGGCCGCTTCACTGAGCCAAACTATAAAATCCTTTTTCGGAAGTAACCGCCATCACACATGAGCGGAAATACTGTTTGCATCGTATCTCGCTCATTTCTGCTCCGATTTTGTTCGTTCTTGCACTCACATCATGCCCTGTACTCGTAGAACGAGTACAATCGCCCGCTTAACTCAGTGGCAGAGTGTTGCACTTGTATATTTATGTTTCATTTCGATGGGACAGCTAAATATTAAATGCATTGGTCAGTCGTTCAATCCGGCTAGTGGGCACTTTTTTTGCGATTTTTTTCGCCGACGGCGCCTCCCGTCAACTGTCATGAAGCACTTCTATGAGGCAGATTTGCCTCAACGTATACAACAGCTTTCCACCATCTGGGCAGACAAAGTGGATGTCGCCGGTATGACCTTGAATGCAACAAGTGCACAAAAAAGCGCACATCTCTCTCTCTATGAAAATAAGCGCTTTAGGACCTCAACTCTCCCCTGGCATCTCCGACGGCTGGACGTCTCCACCCTTCTGAGTCAACGCACTGAGCCCAAGGGACTCGGCCGCATTACAACGCCGAGGGCGCTTCGCGCCCCCGGCGCGCTCTTCTATCATTCAAAAATTAACCCAGAGCCACCCGCCCTTCGGATTCATCTCTACTGCACTGCAGACACCAGAGGAGGGGATGCGACTACAGATTCCCGATTCGGGGCATCAGCGTTAGTGGTCCGCATACGGAAACCTGCACGTGATGCCTGTCTTGCTTCCTACTGTAACTCTGAGTTACCTCTGCACGATGAGTGCCGTCGATTGCTGAAGATCAAAGAAATCTCATACTGAAACTCGTCGGCCCCACTACCTTGACTGAAGACTCGGACAAGCTAATGATCGACGTCGTCGAAGAATTTTTGCCTGACAAAACGCTGCTGGAATGGCTTGGCACGCGCCACTTCGTGCTCAAGATATACTCTTCGCAAAGATGTCATCTTTTCTTCACATTGCTGGACCATATTCGACGACCTGTTACTCAACACATAGTCGGACGATGAGAAGGGGCGAAATTGATTACATAGAGTCGTAAGCTACAAGTACATGCCATTTTGTGCTATGCTACAGATGAAGAGAAAAAGTGCTTAGAGGTCAAATGCCTGACTCTTCCATCCCGCGCTCTTCTTCTCCATCGCGGACTTTTCGTCAACACTACGCTGGAACGATCGGACCTGGCGCTTGCCCTCCCCAACAAGGCCCTGCACATGCTTCGTCACGGTCTGTGCTCCCTCCTTCGCCGTGTCCATAGCGTTATCCGCCGAAATCCCCGTCTGGCCCTGCACCGACTGCACCGCCTGCCCGACACGCTTCTCGAGGCTCTCCGACGCAGTCCCCATCGGCCCGCGCTTCTCCCCGCTCAACACCTGCGGCTCCGCGCCCATGGCAAACTGCGCGCCGCCCTCAGCGTTCTCCTCGAGCACCACGCCCGTCCCGGTCGCGCGCCATCCGGAGGTACGCTCGCGGCTCAAACGCCCAATCTCAGACCACACCGCGCCCGCAAGCGCCGCCCCACGCCCCGCGCCCGCATCAGTAAACACCTCCGCGCGCTGACCAATGTCCCACGCGACACTGTCCATCCACACAAGCCCCGCGCGCAGCTGCTCGCTGAGCGCGCGCCCGAGCGCATCGCGGAACCGCATGTTGAAGATGGGTTTAAAGAGCGTCAGCATCACCGCGTGATTGCTGTCGCGCACGGTGAGCTCGGCGTCGTCCGAGATTTGCACCGTCAGCAGCTCGATGTGGTGGTAAGCGTGCTTGGTCTGACGCTCCTTCTGCGAGGGGATGAGCCGGACCTTGATGTCGACGTCAATGCCCTGCGGGGGCATGGTGAGCGCGAGGAGGCCGGTGTACTCGCTGGGTGGGAGCGTCGCGTTCTTGTCCTTGTAGTAGAAGGAGACGTCCTCGAGCGCGAGCTGCACCGCCTGCAGCCGGATGTGGGTGTAGGTGCCGACGCCAGCAGTCGCCTGCGCGGTCTCCGACGTGCGTACGTCGACGTCGGTGATGTTGCGGATGAAGATGTGAGCGGGGTTGAGCCCGAACGAGGAGATGTCGAGGTTCTCGAGCACAAGCTCCATGTCGTTGTCCGCGTACTCCGTGCGAGGTATCGGCACGTCCTTGAGCATGGAGAGGAAACGGGGAGCATACACCGCGAAGAGATCGCGCCAGAACCACGCCGCCCGCTCCAGCACGGCCTGCACCCCAGTCTCCGCCTGCTCGGACGCGTCCACCAACCCGCGCTCAACATCCTCGCCCAGCTGGATGTGCGCAGCCCGGAGACGCTCGACATCCGCATCGGCTGCCAGCGCGGCTCCGAACGACCTCACAGTGTCCTTGAGCTGGGCCCAAGTGCGACCGGCGTCCGTGTTCTCATCGATCAGGATGCGCCCTCGCTTGCGCAGATCGCGCCGTACGCCACGCGCCTCTTCGGAGCGGGGATAGTCAGGGTCGTCCAAGCTGCGGTGAGCATGCTGAACGAACTTGTCGACCCACGCCTTGACCTCGACCGAGTCTCCGCGCACGGCAGAGACGAAGCGCTGCGCCTTGTCGAGAACGGCGTCAACAGAGCTCTCGGGTTCCGCGAAGCGGTCGAGGAGGGTCTTGAGCGCATTAAGCGCCTTGGGGATGTGCTGCTCGGGGGTAGTGTCCTGGACAAAGGTTTCGAGGGTTAATGACTGGTCGGAGGTGGAGTCGAAAGCCTTGTTGATCCATTTATGCAGCGTGTCAAAGAGGGTGGAGAGAGCTGAGCGATAGGCAGGGTCCGTTTGAGCACGTTCGCAAGCCTGCATACGATGAATAGAAGGACCATGGAATCTGGAGTGGAGCGAACCTTGTAATAAGCACCCTGAAGACGCTCGGTCGTCCGATTCGACAAGTCTTCGGTCTTTTCTTTGGCAGACTGGCCTGCGCCGATAACACCAGAGCCAGCGTCTTTCAACGTGTCCATACCGTGCTCAAAAGCTACACGGCCATCCTGCTCCTCCTCGAGACGTTCCTTGTCGCGACCGAGGTTATCACGCTGTCCGTCCTGCACACCCTGTTCGATGTCCCGGAGGCCATCTTTGGCGCGACCTGCTTGGTTTTGCACGCCCTCCGCTACGTCGGCGAGGGCGAGGCGGGCGAAGGATGCAAAGTCGTTGAGTAGGAAGCCGCCCTCGGACGAGAGGCTCTGCCAGACGATGGAGAGAAGGGTACGCAGCGAGCTGCGGACGGCGTCGAGATCGGAGTTGGCCTCTTTTTGGTTGACAATATCGCCCGAGTCGATCGCGGTGTTCACGTCACCTTCGGTGAGGTGCCAGATGGATTCCTGGAGCAAATTGTCCTCTATGAAGAAAGTTGAAAAAGCAAACAAGCGATACGGCGGGAAACGCACTGTTTTTGTTGGCGTTGAGCGTCCGATAAGCCTCGAGGACTTGGCGGATGTCGTTTGCCAAGACGCGTCCCTGGCCGCTCAGACTGTCCTCCGATGGTTGGACAGCGGGGATGATGGACTTCGTGAGCCAGTCGATAAACGCGTTTACTTGTTCAGTGGCGGGGAGCTTTCCAGCGTCGAGCGCCGCGGTGATTGAGGAGAGTCTGTCCATTGAAGTTGGGGAAAAGGGGGAAATTGACTAGAATTTAGCGCGAGCTCTTTATATATGTGCGCTTGAAAAATTAAAGGAGGGGCATGACGGCGCGGAAGCATCGACCGTCGACCATGACGTCGACCATGTAATGCATGACAGTCCATAACCATTTTCATTTTGGATCCGTCCGGAGTTTCCACCAGTCGATCATCGATAATGAAGACTGCCAAGATGGCGAATTCAAAGAGTCGGTCCACACCGAATCGATGGTCACGGCACTTTGGCTCTCGGAAACTTCAAGAAAGCCAGAACTTTCTCGAGGTGGACGATTTCTGGATGTAGCTTCAATATAAAGGACGACGGACGACGAATGAAGTCTGCGAATGAACGGGTCACGGAGAATGGAATCAAGTCGAAAAATTGAGTCGATCGTTCCGGAGATCAGATCAGTAGCAGAACCAAACAAACAAACGCTCTCGACCGAATCAAGTTAGGTTCGGAGCAAGCCTGTCTCCGGTCCGGCAAGCCGGACAATCTCGGAGAGAGGCTTGGGACAAAGTAATCAAAACAGTGAGGATCTTTGAAGTCATTTTATGACCTCATCCCTCCCTTTCCACCAAAATCAAAGAGACAATATTGTTCATTATACATCTAAGAGTGATATAGCACAGGGTTAAATTCTTGTTTCCCAAAGTTTGAAGTCCTCTGGAGGAGATTTCGGGGGATTGATGGCAAGTCAACTCCACCGAATGCGAGAATGTGAGTTCCCCAGAGTGCAAATTTTATGGGCACTAATGAGACTATTATTTAATATAAGTGTTTCTGTCTCTTCAGAATTCTCATTTGACACCTTGGACGCATCAAGGACTCTGGTCTAAGTTCTGCTGTTTGCCGATCGTTCCTAAAATGGAAATGTGATCGACAGTGAAGCGATGGACTCGGATATCTATATCGTTTACGGGCCTCACCACTCCATTTGACCTGGAGAAAGTGGCAGAGAGGTTCAGACAATGAATTTAAACACATCTCTCGCTCAAATTATTTGATATGTTACGAGAGAGCTCAAAAATCGGGCAGATAAAGTAGCATTTTGATCTTGAAGAACGTCAGTTTCCAGAGTGTCCTGCACATTTGCTATTGTCAATGTGATAAATCTGAGTTGGCCATAGTCTAAGTTGACTAAAACCGTAAGATCCTCTTCAAATACGCGAAGTCATTGGAACACTTTTGAGTGCTCTGGGACGCGACAAAGGTCCTGCCTTTTTCTCTTATCTTGGCACAAGCCCTTTCCATTGTTGACCCCCAAACTCAGCCCGCATCAACAAACAATGGAACGGCGGCTTGATCCGAACCTAGAATCAAGTAATAACTCCTTGCAAGAGCAGAATCTCGGCACAGTTGGTCAGTTTCTGTCTCAGGTGATCAGTCGTTTTAGGGTAAAACATGGGACTGGGCAGCGATGGCATTTTGATGGGCCGATGACTCAGCGTACAGCCACCGCCAAAAGCGCCGACCTGTTGAACCTTCAATTACACCATGTTCTTCTTACATTGCGCACATAAAATGCCTCCTAATAACTACTTGGGTACTTACACATGTATTCTGAACCTCAAAATATTTTAATCTAGACTGTAAGCACCGTGTTGAGGCTTTGACGCGCTATGTCACGGATT